TATATTATATAATATATATTATATATATATATATATATATATATATATATATATATATATATATATATATAGTATATATATATATATATATATATATATATATATATATATATATATATATATATTTATATCTATATGTATTTATAGTGTACACTCGCTGATTTTTGGGTTCATGAAATCAGCTTTACTTCTGTTGTTCGTGAGATTGGGTTACTAATATACTACGGACCACATCCACTTTTTGCTGGCATTGTCCTGAAAATACAATATTTGGAGACGCTCGTGTGCATTGTTACATATGCCCACTCTTAAAATTGGAAACATTGAACCACTCAAACACACCATATCCTAATGAACTTTTACAATATTTCAATTGGGGAGGGCAATGTAGCAGCTGTCTCGCTTGATTCATTTAACCCTCTACACACGCTGAAAATTTAAATACCAACTGTTCAGATAGGCATCGTTCTCTCATGATAAGTTTATAAGCTCGCATTGTCTGATACAGATGTGATAATAAGCCTACCAACATACTACCAAGTGTTTATCGAGCCAGGTCCTTCTTCTTCCAGTTTTCAAAGCGCTCCATGGCTTCGTCGTAATCTTCATACTTGTCCTCAAACTCGTCCTGCTTCTTCATGTACCTCTCGAAGCGTTGCTCTTCCGTCTCGGTCGTCTCAGGTGTCTTCTCGCGCGCACTCACACCCGCAGCAGCCTTATCCTTGGACTCTGTACTCTTAGCACCCAGATCCTCCTTCTTCGAATCTGCACCTTTCCTGACAGCCTTCACAGGTTCTTTCTTGGCTTCAGTGCCCTTGGGAGTGTCTGTAGTCTCTGTTTTATCAGAGTCAGATTCAAGCACCTTGTCTAGATGCTCAATCACAATCGCATCTTGCACCTGATCGTTCGTCTCGTCTACATTTCTTCCTGAAACTATCTTCTTGGCCTTCTTTCTGAGCCTAGCAAGCGTCTGCTCGCTATTCTCGGGGGTGCCTGATTCATCCTCCTCGATCAGCAGATACCACATGTTGGAGTCCTGCCCTTCTGGCCTGGCCGCAATATACTCCGGGGAAAAGTATTTGTTGTATCTGATCTTCTCATCCGCACGTCGTTCCCATGCAATCAGACTCTTCTGTCTCAGGCGACGCTTGTCCTTGATTACTTTGTTCGTTTGCTTCGCCATACCACGAACCGTGGTATGCGATGGGCTGCTCACTGACAACTGTGCGTGTGCATACTTACTACTACCCACATTGGAACTCCAAGTTGTCTCTATGGAAGCCATGGCTGGACGTGCGGTTGTGCGTAAACACACTTTCGACGTTGTGCGCGAAGCAAACATTGCTAATCCTGAGAAAGCCATGTTGTTGACGCGAAAAGTCGTACGCACGCTGGACACCCAGCAGATTTGTAACTAGAGTGTGGTTATAAACTAAGAGTGTGTTTGCTTCAGCTGAAACAACTAAAGAAACTAAGTACGCTGAACTGATGCTCAGGCACGTATATTTTGAGTATGTTGTATGTTACTTGAGCAACCTCCCGCGTGTTGTTCACTATATCAGGGGGGGGGTGTGTGTGTGTGCCTCTCTCAAGTGTGTTATTTAATATTTATTTCTTTAGGTCCTATTTGTACAATACAGCAGACGAGTATGTAGGGTTTCAAAACCCAACATCCTGGGAAAGGCTGACAATTCCACGCGTTTCAAATGACAGCACAGCCTCTATATATTTACACTACACGACTGTATAGTGCAATTGCAGCATTCGACAACTAAGGCAAAGCGCTTGTTAAACATACACTTGTTTTCTTAGCAATAGCGTATTGAATAGATTACCATACGCACATTGGGTTCAATATGGCTGCACGTGTTGCGGATCTGGTTGTGCGACTGAAAAATGGCTACCGAGCGTCACTATCGTCCGTAATGGTGCACAACTCAACCTTGAACAAATCAGTGCTTCACTGTTTATGGAAAGAGGGCTATATCAGTGAATACAAAACGAGTCTACCAAGTAAGTATTGACATCTATCACTATCTTATACCTTATGCTCTGTTTCAATCTATGAGAGATTGGTGAATGCCTCTAGTTCTGTAGTATATATATGTATATATATGTATGTGTGTGTGTGTGTTTGTGTATATATATATATATATATATAATATATATATATATATATATATGTGTGTGTGTGTGTGTGTGTGTGTGTGT